CTGAGAAGGACAAGGAACAAGCTCAGGGTGTCAGATGTCGATTGACATTACACTTGAATATTTGAAGATTATAGTCATCGGGAAGCAAGTAAGGGGAAGGGAGTTCTACAGACAGGAAGTGCGGGAGAAGAAGCTGTTTGATAAGAGACGGTTGCATGTAACCATTTTGACAGTGAAAGGGTGGGACCAAGATGCCAGCCTAGTAGCTCATCTAAATTCATGTAGTCCGTGAACCAGCGAAACTCGCTCGTCGGAACAGTGAAAATACTTGTAAAAGAGACAGAGGGAGGCCACGGCATGTCTGTGGGATAGCGACTGTAGACTAGATGTCAGATCAGGACCTATCATCTTGCATATTCGTCACTGTATCTGTCTATATTACGGAGATGAGGTATTATTTATACTATTTACATTATTCGGACTATTGTCCTCATCTTTGTTGCCATATTTATCACAACGTTTCGGCTGTGGTACGCCCCGGCCTTCTTCAGGTGGTTGGAATGTCGAACTGAACCCTTTATTTCGCTCACTGTGGTAGACTGTTCTAGTTCCACGTGCCATGTTTAATGGATGTCAGTTATCAGTTATCTCCAAGTTCTCCTCCGCCTTAACCAGGTATTGAACTCACACTCCTTGGGTCCTGTCACTGGATCTAACTAACGCCTTTATCAATTGTGCCATGTGTCCTCGAAGGGCAGTTGAAATATCGATTTTCAAATACTTATCAATCTCTGCGTCGAAATCCTCGGTTTATTCCCCACGAAAACAAGCAGAGCGTCTTCATCGACGTCGAAAAGTCGTCCGGAGCGAGGTTGACCGTTTAGCTTAAAATCACCCTGACGAAATCTGCCAAACCACTTTTTGACCGCCTGAAGAGCTGGAGCACGATTCAAATAAACATTCTGAAGAATTACTTCTTTCTGAAATTTATAGAGAATAATTTGGCGAAAATGCAACTTTTCATCCTCTATGTTAGGGCATCCATTTTTGGACAAAATGAAAGACAACGTCTGGCTCACCACTAAACGTTGCAAACTTTCAATCTAGACTGAACCAGAAACTAGCGTCAAAACAAACGCCAGTGTTAAACTGCGATAATTTTATATTAACAATGAAAATCGTTTATGAACTTTTGCAATGATCTGATATATATATATATATATATATATATATATATATATATATATATATATATATATATATATATAAAACAGTCCACTTTAAGGTACCATTATAATAATTTATTTCACCAGAGCTCTTTTAAAGGACGCCGGATCATCAGATAGCACTTCCAAAAATGAAATGAAACGAAAAATGAAATTAAAATTGATGGGTAGTGTAAGTTTTGTAATTTAACAGAGAGTGTAAGAGGATAGTTAAAGAGACATGGTAGAGTATAGGGAGGGATTAATTTCATATCTCTCTCAAGCATACTTTATATTGGGGAGGAGGAGGACCAGACTTTGACCTATTTAGACGGTTAACTTAACGGAAGTTATATATTGAAATATATATATATATATATATATATATATATATATATATATATATAAGCACATTTCATGGTATATGGCAGACAAGATATTATTACATTTGTGTTATCAACAAGTATGTTACACAAATGTAATAGCATCGTCTACATGTAAAAAGTGGCTAAAAATAATGGAAGCCTTATTAATAAAAACAAAAAAAAACACTCCTCAATAATATCAACTATGAACATGGACACAATATCTATACCGTGTTTTGAAAATCAAACCTTATATAAATACATCATACAACAATCTATTTCTTGTTAGCAGTTAATATATTTTAACCTTGAAAATGGCTAAATGTATAGCCGAAAGCACTCGAAGAGAAAGAACAATTGGACAGTTTTTATATAATTTATCCACCGAAAAGAAAAAATTATAAGATCACATGAGAAATTGTATAAAAAACTAAATCAAAGCACCTTGTCTGTCATATTCAATAATTGCATGAAATAAGGATATATATATATATATATATAGGTGCTGGCTATGTAAGAGGGACAGACACTTAAGAAGGAATTGTCCAAGAAGAAACGGTACTGAGAGAAGAAAGGATAAAAAAAATAAGGGGAACAAGAAGACCAGTCCCCACCCTACCCAAGAGAAGCTGGACTAGAGTAGTGAACGATGAGCTCCTATTGCCAGCACCCATGTCGAGTTTGAAAAATAGGGATAGCCAACAGGGAAATAAAAATAAGGGTAGGTTGAAGAATAGGGACAGAGCCCAGATATTTCAGCTACTTAAATGGGGCACAAGGCAGAAAAAGCATTAGTGGATACTGGAGCGTCGATCTCCTTAATAAAGTCCAAGGTGTTTTGACAGCTGGGGTTACATAGAAAACTTTAGCCATTGGATTTATTAATTAGCCAGGCAGATAGTAGTCAGATGAGAGTAGAGGGTATGATATAGCTACCATTCAAATTGGCGAGTACCACAGGTGAGCTTAAAGTGTATGAGTCACTTGATTTGTGCGGAGAGCTTTCGGAATTCTACAACCCGATAACTACACGCCAGGATAAAAAAATCACAACGTGGCTGGTCAGTGGAATCGAATTGACATTTGAAACAGGATACTTAGGTCTAACCTGTAATACTGGACCATACAGGACCAATGGCCGGTCTTGTGGATGATATCGGCCCAGTGTCACATGGACGCCTTGACCAGAGATCGCGTTACAACTGACATCGTGGGAGAGGATCGGCGTTACACTTTGAGTGACTTAAAACTGGTTCCAACGTGAGAACACTGGAATTAACCAGAAACAGTTACGTAAACCTACACAAATCAAAATCCTTGAAAACGAATGCAACAACATCCGAAAGTACTATTATTAATATATATATATATATATATATATATATATATATATATATATATATATATATATATATGTTTCATTAAAACGACAAACAAAAGGTACTACGGTTAAGCTTTTTATTTAATTTTTCTTGAAAATTAAATAAAAAGCTTAACCGTAGTACCTTGTCTGTCGTTTTTAATGAAACATGCACAAAGGAAGGATTGCTGCCTAAATATACAACTATATATATATATATATATATATATATATAGATAGATAGATAGATAGATAGATGTAGTATATTTGTAGAAGAGACAAAATAAGTGAAAAGACACTAGGAAAACTATAATTAGTTTAGCTGACGCGTTTCGCCATTCGACGGACTTTATCAAGGCAGATTGTGGTGGTTTTATTTTGCAACATGCATATATAACAAGTATAAATAAAGCCCTTACAATTTGACTTGATAAAATCAGTCGAATGACGAAACGCATCGGCTAAACTAGGCAATGTCTTTTCATTCCTATATATATATAATTACATTTCAAACTATTCACAACACATTACATAGCATCTAGACATATGGTTTCGGCCTCCCGCGTGGTATGACGTCATAGAACCGCATCTTGAACAATTGCGTCTGCTATTCCGCGACCGTTATCGTCGCATAACAAAATGTTTTCTTCGACGGTGAATATCTTTGTTAAAATGTCCGTATAACCACTCTGAAGATGGATCACGTGAGCCTAAAGCTTAGATCAAGGACTAACTTAATAAAAATGTTGGACAATTTTTGTCTTTATTTCCACTCGAAATTAAAGCAAACATACGAACATTAAAACAGCTCATGATCAGACATAATAGACAATCATTGTTTGTTACATTTAACAATATATATATATATATATATATATATATATATATATATATATATATATATGGTGCAAGTGGACTGATGAAGAGTTCTCAGTCTGACCCGCTTCCAAATTTCGTTATTTCAATGAACAAACATCAAAATAGAAAAAATATATAGAACAATAGAGAGAGGGTTCAGCCAGCTACACAGCCAGATAGATAGATAGATGTTTTGAGAATGTGTGAAAGTGAAGGAAATACAACCGGAAGAGAGTTCTACAGGCGAGAAGTGTGAGAAAAGAAACTATTAGAATAGAACTTACGGCTATATCTAGCTAATTCTACAGTAAATCGATGAAACCTAGTTGCCAATCTTGTACACTTAAATTCACGCAGTCACTATACCGAGGAAAGTGACTGCTGACGTGATGCCATGTCAGGACTAATAACATAACAGACCATTCTTTGGATTTTGTCAAGAATATCGATATATATATAGCCGGAACACCAAATTAGATATGGCAGCAATATTCAATGCATGGACAAATGACCGTTTTATAAATGTGCAAGATGGATTCCGATGAAAAAAACCTTCTGGCACGATACAGTGAAGCAAATTTCTGAGAAGCAGACCTAGCATTTGATTCAATATAATCGCCCTATTTCATGTCAGTAGAAAACATGAGACCAAGTAGGCGCAATGTGTTGTTCTCCTGGAGGTTAACATTAGCAATGGTGATGGAGGACAAATATGGTTCTTTATGATGATCCAAGGATAGCAATTTCGTTTTGGAGATGTTAAAATTTACAAGCCATTTCTTGTCCCAGTTAATTTGGAGGTCGTTTTCAAGAGGATCTGCCAGTCTTACATTATCGGATCTATCGGGGAATTCTTCCAAATTTGAGGACTTACCGAGTATATGAAACACTGACTTTTATGTGAGCTTGAACACTGGTCATAATCATCAAATACAAATGCTATTCCGACAGCTCCTACTATCTCATATGTAGGAAAACGTATTTCAATAGGATCCAGTCTAATGTGGGTCATCATTAAGGTGAATGTTTCACAAGGTCAAGGCAGAGTGACACATAGTGAAGATGCTAGTCACTACATTTCCGAATTTGTCTGCGAGACAAGCGTACAATCCATCACACTACGGTGGGCGCCGAGGTATGAAAGTTTTTATTAACATCGAAATTCAACTTGGTGTTGTCAAATATTCTGAGCACTACTTAAATAGATTGGTCGACTCGTAAAAAATAGGGAAAATTTTTTCGGTGATTAATTTTTTGTAGATTGGGATTCATTATGGCCATATCACGTTGAAACACCAGTTCTGGTACGATCACCGAAGTTAAGCAGCGTCGAGCCTGGTCAGTGCCTAGGTGAGTGACCGCTTGGGAATACCAAGTGCTGTAAGCTTGGATTGCGATCAACCACGCTCCGGGCGACCATCCAACTTAGATGATGACACTCTGTCATCGTGGAGAATAAACCGAAGATTTCGACGGAAGAGATTGCTGAAAATCGATATTTTAACTGCCTTTCGTCATTTAAAGTGACTTGGGTTTCTTTTCAAACTCGACACGTGGGTACCACATTTTCTGACGGAACAGAACAAGTCCGATCCGTGTTTTTGCGGCGATTACGTTGCTGTTACGCCACCAAAAGGAGCCGTTCTTGGACAGAATTGTCATAGGCGATGAAAAGTGGATCGTTTATAATAACGTTCGACGCAAACGGACCAGGAAACAAGCTCGTGAATCTATAGAACCCGTGGCTAAAGCTTGTATCCAATGAAGGTGTCACTGTCCGTTTAGTGGGATGCAGAGGGATAATTCACTATGAGTCTCTCCTATCTGGCGAAATAATAACTGTAAATAAGTATCTCATCAACTCGCCAATCCCAATGCGGCTATTAAAGGAAAACGGCCGATTTTGACTAATCAAGGAGGTGTCATTTTCCACTACGACGACACAAGACCGCATGTTGTAAAACAGACCTTGCTGAAAACCTTAAGAGTTGAAATGGGAAACCTTCCAGCACAAATCGTATTCTACTTATTTGGCTTCTTTTCATTTGTTCCGGTCTCTACAGAACAATCTAGATGTCAAAAAATTTGTACAGTCAGTCGAAAACTACCTCACAATTTAATTCCAACAAAAATTCCGAAGTCTCTATGAAAAGGATCTCAGCAAGCTTATGGAAATTTAAAAAAAAATTATTGCTGATAATTTCAGTACAAAAATGTATAGTTGATTATTATTATTATTTTTTTATAAATATGTATTGTTTGTAATCTTTTTATAAAAATGTACTGATGATTTGTTTGGGGGGTTCACTATTTGTCTATAGCTGGGACCCTAACCGGTGCTACCACCGTGGGTCAGGGTGAACCTGAGAACAACAGTAATTAAAATGGAGTTCCACGCTGTCCAAAACCTCCAATCTCCTGATTAGAGGCTTTGCTGCCGGATGTAGTTTATCGTCATACCCAGGACGGACGAAAATGGTATCACTAAGCTTGTAGAACGATGTTAGACAGTTGTTAAAATCAATGAAGACTATGTACTTAACTAATAAATGTTTTTTAGTGAGTATGTAAAATTTTGTTTTTAAATTTTTAACCGGACACGGATTTTTGCAATGTTCTAATATATCACTTTCGCTTTCTCTCTCTTGTTCCTGCTTTCTTTCTTTTTTCTCTCTCTCCCCCCTCTCTCTCTTTCTTTCTCTCTCTTTCCTTTTTTATATTCACATGATTCTGAACTGAAATAATTTTAATGCGGAATTACTTGAGCATAAGTGTTTTTTTTTTGTTTTTTGCTGCGTGAGTTTGTTCTTGTGTGAGGATGTTTTGTTTGTGTGTAGTATGTGCACATTAGCGTTTATGCGCGGACGTGTTTGTGTAGGCGAAAATGGGTCAGAATGCAACTTAATGAAAATCAGAAAAAGGCTACAATACTATTTTTCAAACTCTCCCATTTTATGTGCCGTGTCCCTTTAGGACGTAGGTGATCATGGCCCTCCACATCCTCCTGTCCCTTGTAGCTCTTAATAAGTTTTGTCTTTTTGTTATTCCTCCCAGACCCTGTTTTGTCAACCACTTGCTCAAACCCATTAAATATGTTACGCATTGTGTTCCCCTGTTCCACTTACCCTATGTCCGTCCTGTGAGTATCAGTTTTTCCAAGTTCTCTTTCCTCATTACGTATCCCAGTAATTTCAACTGCCTTTTCCTGATGCTAAGTATAAGTTTTCTCTTTGTTTCTATTCTCTCCAAAACCTCGTCGTTGCTCACATGTTCTTCCCATGGTATCCTCAGCATCCTTCTGTAGAACCACATTTCTGTTGCTTCGAGTCTCTTCTTCATCTTTGAAGAGATTGTTCCGCATTCGCTGCCATGCAGAAGGACAGATATCATGTAACAGTCCAGTACTCTTTTTTTTTTGTTTCCAACGAAACTTTCCTGTCTCTTAGTACTTTGCGTAGCTTTTGGAATGCATCATTGGCCATCTCAATACTCCTTCGGGTCTCAGTGTGGTACTTTCCGTACCCTGTTAGAACACATTCCAGATATTTAAGTTTCTGTACCTGCTTGATTTTAGTGTCCCCGAACTGCAAATCTCATTTCAGGCTTATCCTTTTACCGATGACTATGCATTCTGTCTTCTTGTTTAGTCCCTTCTTCTCGCTCTCCTTTGCTGCCTTCTGTAGGAAGTTTTGCGGTTTCCTTTCCGTGTCTGTTATCAACATTTTCTCATCTGCATATCTTACATTGTTCAGATTGTGACCACCATTGATGAATCCTGGTAGGACTTCTAGTTCTCTCAGAGTCCCGTCGCTGCCTAGGTTGAATTATTCTGGTGAGAAGACATCCTTATCTTACACCCCTTTCTATTTTTGTATATCTGTTGAACCGTATGCAGGCGGTTTGTTGCCAGTAGAAATTTTTGATTATCCTAATGTCTTTCCGAATATGTCAAGGTTGCTGGGCGTCTCTAACAGAACTTTGTGACGTACTTTGTCAAACGTTTTTTGCGTAGTCTATAAAGCACAGGTACATGTCCTTCTGCATCTGTATTGCTCTTTCTGATAACATTCTGAGCATAAAATTCACATTCCCTATTCCTGTGTCTTTCACGAACCCGCACTGTTCTTGTCTTATTTCTGGCTTGATTCTGCTGCGCGCTCTATTAATCAGAATTCGGATGATGAGTTTTGTTATGTGGCTCATTAGGCTGATTGTTCGGTAGTATTCACATTTTTTTGCGCTTGGTTTCTTTGGCAGTGCTATGAAAATAGACCAGGTTAGATCTTCTGGTATATCACCACTGTTGTAGATTCAATTTATTATTTCTGTATTCTTGTCTATGCCGAAATCGTCTAAGGCTGCCAGCACATTTATTACAATTCCGTCTGACCCTGCCACTTTGTTTCTGTTCCTTTTTGGCCAGTGCAGCTTCCACTTCGCTTTTTAGTATTTCCGGTCTATCGGTGTTTCTGCGTATTGTCGGTTGTTCTCTCTCGTCGTGGAAGACTTCTCTAATATATTCGTTCCAGCGCTGAAGAATTTTTCTGTCTCTGAGCGTTCCGTGTTTGGATTTTATGCATCCTGTTGATGAACATATAATCTGCCCTGTTAGTTCCCTTTAATTGAGAAACACATTGTCTCTAATTCTGCACGTTTTTTGTTAAGCTATTCTTCCATAACCTGCCTGCATTTGTCCCTTATTTGAATGTGTACTTTTCTGTATTCCGTTCCATGTCTTGGCATTGTTTTCTGCCTCCTTTGCATCATGTCGAGAATCTCGTCTGTGGTCCATTCGTTATTTTTTCTTCTTCGTCCATTCCCCTTTAGGATGATATCGTTTGCTGATGCCACTAAAGCTTCACTTAGTAGTGTGTCCCATTTCGAGTTTCCATTTCCATTGTGCCCCTCGTGTATTCTTTTCACTTTTCTTTTTTCCTTCAGGTTCGGTTAGGTTTTGCAGTGAACAACTGCATTCCTGAATCTTTTGTTGATAGTTATGTCGTCGATTTGGTTTTTATTTTCCCCTCCTGGGCTTCTCCATGTCTATAATCGTCTTGGTTGTTCTTGGAAAAAGGTGTTGACTATTACCTGGTCACCAAATGGACACATTTTCCCCCGCGTTCGTTGCGGGTTCCTGGTCCGAATTTCCCAGTTATGTCCCCTACCCTCTCCTTGCCTAGTTTGGCATTCAGGTCTCCCATAATAATTACAATTTCTTGTGATTTGCACTGAGCCTTATTTAGCATGGAATAGAAAGATTCGATTTCTTCTGTAGTTCCGTTGGCGTTGTTTAGCATGGAATAGAAAGATTCGATTTCTTCTGTAGTTTGTGCTGTCAGTGCATACACTATTATAATAGATATGTTGAAAGGCTTTCCTTTCAGTTTAGCTACAAGAATTTTTTCAGATAACTGGCTGCATCCGAGAACGCATTTCTTGATGTCTTGATTTAGTATCACTCCAACCCACTTTTCAAACTCTACGCTGCACAGAAATTGCATTTAAAAAAGAAAAGAAAAAGAAAATGACTTTTTCTTCCGGCATTCAAATAAGTCCTAAATCGGGTCAAGTAGATATAAAAACTCATATGAATTTCGATTCTTTTGTGTGGTTTTTCTATGACTAAATGAAAAGCAAAAATCCACCAAAAAGGTCATTATTTGTGATTCTACGACCAGAAGTACTTGTTCTCGTAGGGTAAAAAGAAAAGAGTGGGCCTATCGTTTACTTAAGAACTCAAGCTCAAGGCCAGAGTGTTTTCAGTGTGTGCTTTTAAATCTGGGGACAATCGAGTTAAGAATTTACACGCTAAAATTAATTCATATCATTTTCATGGCAGGAGTAAAGTGGGAATTGATTTTCTAGTGGGCCTTCCCCCAGTTTGGCGATGGGCTTGTTAGAACATCTCGTGTCGTTCACGCGGTGCATTTTGCATTTCTGAATGTTTTCAACAGAAAGTAATTATTTAATTACACTGTACTTACCCCACTGTGGCATCCCATTGATGAGATATATTTCAATACATCTAAAAATAAACTAGTATGTAAGAAAAAGTGTATCCATCCATTTTTTTGTACAAAGATATTAGTACGAATTAAACATGAGTTGTCTCAGTCGAAATCCGAACTTGGTTCGCCGTGTCCGATCTACGTGCCATTGGTAATATTTTTTATTACAATGAGGTTCACCTTGTACAAGACCCGTGAGCTACCCAGGAAGAGGTTTACAGAGTAAGAGGCAGAGTTTATGCGGATAGTTAGGGAAGATAACGGTTAACCTTCGACTTAAAGTTAAATTTCTAGTGGTCGGGAAAACATCATCTTGGAAGGTGGTTCCACAGAGCAGTGGTTCGCTGGAAGAAGCTACCCAAGCGGAGCTTACTTCT